AAGTTTGCAAAAATCACTTTTGGTGGCTGAGCATCAATGCGTTTATAATTTTTTAAGAGTTCATAAAGAGCTAGGATTTCCAGCATGAAAAAAAAAAGAAGTGAGGAGGCATAGTCAGAAGGTAAAACAAATTTTGAAACCTAAAGTTTCAAAGTGAAGTTAATGACAATCTTGTAATGCCACAGACATCGGGAAAGGAAACATATTGAACTCAGAAATTCATTAATAGGCCTGCAATAGATTTTGCTGTACTTATTTACAGAAAACCTCAAACCTCCATGGGCAAACACTTGGGACTGTCCCCAAAAAATCAGGTATGAACTTTAGCAACCTGCATTGCACAGAATCCAGGAGGGGATGGTTTGGGTTGGAAGGGACCTTCAAGATCATCTATTTCCAATCCCCTGCTGTGGCAAGAGACACCTTCCACCAGACCAGGTTGCTCATATTTTTATCTACAAATCCCTAATCCAGAACAGTGGMCAGAAGGGCCAAATTTATCTCAGTCTGAGCACAAGAAGCAATTATTTTGCAAAAAACAAAATCCCAAACAAAAAAAGAAGCGCGTTTAGCACAAAACACTCGGCAGAACGAGGGGAGTGACACTCTCCCTCTCTGGGAACATTCCAGACTCTTACTTTTCCATCTTCACACTTGGTTCCTGCCAGCACCAGCCCGGGATCGGGCATGTCATCCCCCAGGTAGACATGGGTGCCACGGCACAGGATTTTGCCTCCCTCCTGCAGCGGGATGTTGGTTTCTATGGAAACAGCGTTGGTACCAATCACCGGCCGGTTGGCTCCCCCTTGGCACTGGATCTTCCCACACTTGGCATCCCTGGCAGGAACAAACACAGCAAAAAGTTAAATAAATCCTTCTGAGCCCTCTCCCAAAGCCCTGCAGGTGTTTGGAGGGACAGCCCCTACCTGGGTTCACATTTGGCAAAGGAGCTTTTGGAGTCCTTGCCGCAGTTKCCGTAGGGATCGCCGGCGGAGTTGACTCTCTCGAAGCAGATCCCAGGAGCCGGCTTTGCACCTGAAACAAACCCTAATCAGAACTTCCATCTCGTACAAGRTGGTTTTAATAATTTCCTTTGAGCTCTGCTGGTGCTGTAGGGGAAAGGGGGRATGTGAGCTGCATGCTGATGAAGCCCAAAGAGCGGTGTGGGATCCGCATGCTGATGGCTGTGTGGGATTGCTGGCGGTGTTTGTCTCTCTTGGCAGTGCTGAGCRACAGACAAGGCAGAACTCCATCTCCTCCAGGATTTCTGGAGGTGAGAGCCCTCTTGCCAACCCTCCTAGGACACAGAAATTCTTAGCAAATGCCAAATCTTGTTCGGTGGAGACAGACAAAGGCCAGCTGGAAAGTTAACTCCCTCCTTTTTGTGGAGTCCACATGGTTTCAGTGAGACCCCAAAGAAGATTCTTTTTGGTTTCAGTGAGACCCCAAAGAAGATTCTTTTTGAGAAAGGCCCTGTTTGACTGCAATTCAGAACAAGAAAAAAGGAAAAATCCAGCTGTAAAGTGGGTGAAAAGATGTGAGGACCTGGCAGGGCAAAGGGAAACGTGCTGCTGTTAACTCAGGCTGTTACTGGGGAGAGGAAAGGAACCCATCCCACCTTAATGCTTAGGACATCCCCTGTTGAAAGGAAAAGCTGAGAGCAAAAAAGGGTTCTTTCCACCACGGTGGGACAGGTGGGAATCTGGCAGGACAGGCAGCATTTGGTTCTTATCCAATGTGTTCTTTTCTGACAGAGACACGTCCTAATGGCAAAGTAACTTCCCTGGTGGGAGCAGGGCTGAAAAAAACTCAGGCAGGCAGATTGCTCATCCCTGCTCTTCAGAAGTTGAAGAGTGCTACAGGAACATCTCTTCTGATGTTTTATACACACAATCTCCTGCCCATTTCCCCCAGATTATATCCAGATATAGAGTATTTTCTAGAAGAAGATGCATCTGTTCATCTGGAGCGTGGAAGAGGTGAAGGATCTGCTCCCCAGGTTTGACTGCTGCAGCAGTTCATTAGTCTSTGTGCTGAAATTTAATCCCTTTGTTCTACAGCAAAGTGTGGCTTTTGTTTCCAGCCAATAATTGCTGCTTCTTGCAAGATTAAGAGGCCCTTTGTTAGGGCTCTTTGCTGCTCCATATTTCCTTTCTGTGAAAATGATTAACAGCACCATCCAGTCACCACCAAGGTTTCAGCAGCTCCAGCAGGGAGATGGGCTCTGAGGAGAAAAAGAGCTGAGGAGATGCTGTGGCTGAAACCCTGATCAGAGACCTGCCAGCTGCACTTCTGTGCTTTTGATAGATCAGCCAAACTAAAGCAAAAAGAACTTGGCAGCAAATGATGTGATAGCCCAAAGGCTGAGAATATCCCATTTCCACATCTTCACCACAGACAGAATATTTCAACTAATGCTACATTTTGTCAAATGTTTTGAGCCACTTCCAATTGTGTATGCCTCTAACTGTTGGTAAAACATAGCATTTATTTAAGCCAGCCTGAAGATTTAATTTGAAAACCTTCAAAGAGAAAAGAATGTTCTTTTTTCTCTTTAAAATAAAAAAAAAAAGGGGGGTCAGATTCCTGGAGAAGAAAACACAAATATGACTGTAAAACTTCCAGCCAGTGTGGATCCTTTCACAAATAACTCAGAGATTAAAACTTCAATTAATTATCYGCATTTCATAGTCAGAAGCTTGACTAATACTATATACTGCTGAACAGCAATCTAATGCTATTAAGGACAAAATATTAAAACTTGGAGAGGCATAAGATGGCACCCTCTTTTCCTTCTAACATTTTTACATGCTGAAAGTGGAAAATTCAGAAAGAAAGGCACAGAAGGAACAGAATATGAGCTGTTGGTTCCCTGGAGAGAAGGACAAGAGCTTGAAATTCTTTGGAAGATTACGATCAAGCTTGCTGAGTTCGGAATATTTTTTCAAGCCTGAAACTATTAAAAAGGACTCAAACAGGATTCTTTCAATTCTTTTTCATTAAAGTTCAAGCAATAATCAAAAAATCAACACAAGCATCGAGACAGGGCGCTGTGCAAAAAAAAGCAAAAGTCAAATTTCCATTTTCAGCATGTGGATCCTTCCTCATCTTTCCAAGGCAGGCACATTCATGTTCAGCTTGAGACAAACATCACCATGTGCATATTCTACAGCAGCTTTAGGAGGGCTGGGGAGGGGAGGGGAGAAACCTGCTGTGAGCAAGAGGCCAAGAAAAGCTGCTTTTTCTGAAATTGCTTTTTCTAAAACTGGTTTCTGAAACTGTTTTTACTAAAACTGTTCTTTTTAAAACTGCTTCTTCTGAAATGGCTTTTTCTCAAACTGCTTTTTCTAGAACGGCTTTTTCTAGAGCTACTTTTTCTAGAACTGCTTTTTCTAAAACTGCTCTAAAACTGCTTTTTCTGAAACTGCTTGTTCCTAAACCTGCTTTTTCTAGAACTGCTTTTCCTGAAACTGCTATTTATGAAACTGCTTTTTCTAGAGCTGCTTTTTCTAAAAGTGCTTTTTCTGAAACTGCTTTTTCCTAAACCTGCTTTTTCTCAAACTGCTTTTCCTGAAACTGCTTTTCTGAAACTGCTTTTTCTCAAACTGCTTTTTCTAGAACTGCTTTTCCTGAAACTGCTTTTCCTGAAACTGCTTTTTCTCCCCCATGAGCACAGAGCAGCGTGCGCATCCCTGGTGGTACCCTGCTGCTCTGGGTCTCTGTTTCTGGCCAGCAGCCTGGTGGCCCAGCTGGTCCAGCTGGGCAAATTGCAGGAATTGCAGTGGCTGGAGGCTCCCARGAGATGTGGCAGAGCAGCCCAGAGCCCAGACACGCTGTCCCCTCCCTGGTGTGTGGCTCCCCAAGCCACCAAAATCCAAATGAACGCTCACGTCCTGCACTCTGACTGCGAGACACAAAACAAAGGCTTGTTCTGAAAAGGTGCTGAAAAGGGAAAGGGCTCGCTGAATAACTGAGCTTAAGGTATTTCTCTTTCTCCTGATGAACTCACATTTTTTGTGTGGTTGATTTTTTTTTTCCTGAACGCAGAAGCCGAGCGTTGCAGGGATGATGGAACGCAGCCYGCAGGAAGGAAAACACATCTGCAACGTCCTTGCAGGGCTCAGACACTGAGCTTGAACTCCCACTAATAACATTTGACAAGAAAAAGGATCTCATGGAGCACAAAAAAGCCCTCCCCTGCCAGGCTCGGAGCAGGCTGTGTGTGAAAACACCTGGTACCCAAAGATCAGCTGCAGTTTGGAAACCAAAACCCTCCTTCAATTCCTGCCCTTGGTACCCAACCAAGACACGCTGCTGCTTGGGATTGGCTGCTCCCTCTCCCCATTGGCTTCTCATAATATTTGGACTTCTTTTTTGTGGATGAAAACATAGCAGAGTGTAAGATGMCGAACAGATGGAGCTACCAAGTTAAAAGGAGGTTTTCAGAGGCTGCTTAAGGAAGGGAATTGTAATGCTGTGTTCCTGGAGGAAACCCATTTATCAYGACTGCACCACATAAACAGAAGCAGAAAGCCCTGTCTTCCTCTATTTTCTACCTCTGCAGGCAGAGGCAGAACGATTTGTGAAAGCTTTCTGGTGGTTATTAAGTGCTTTGAGCTGGATGAGCAGAGTTGATTTCGCTTTRCCATTGGTAATTACAGTATCATGACCCCGTAATTAAGGTCCTGTCAGCCCATCCACGCCAAACCTCGTCCGAGGGATTCAATCAGCCCTTGGAAGCTGCAGAAGGTCAAAGCTCASCACTGCAGTTGGCAGCCTGGAGACTGCTTTTGTTTTTTTCTCCAAACGTGTATATTGATGAGCCCACTTCTTTGCCTGTGCAGCTTGCAAAAAAATGGAAATGATAAAAAAATAGATGTTGCAGGGCACAGAAGTGCTGTGTCATTTCAGACCAGCTGAGATGGGAAAGAGGGAAATTTCTGACCATGGTGCTGATTCCACAAACGAGAGAAACATCCTCCATCAGGCTGACAGCAGCAAAGGAAGATATTTCAGCTCAGTTCCCAACTGTCCGTGGGTGGGGAGAGGAGAACAAACAAGCTCTGAGTAACAGGCTGGAGTTGTGCTGCTCAGGCTGTGCCAGCCAGAGCCATGAACAACTGTGCAAATAAATATGAGCATCAGAAGTGCAGTTCTCTGTCGTGTGATCCTGGTTTCAGCTCATTAAGTTTGTTTTGCTGCACTGGTGAGGCAAAGCAAATGTTCCACAAGCTGCCCTCAGCCTCTCTCCCCATCCTGGTGRTGATCCCTGCTCTGTCTGGGTAAGAACAAGATGGGGTTGAGAAAAAAAAATTTTTTTTTTTGCATTTAGGGAGGATGATGTCACCACCCCTGAGAATATGGTTTAATATCTTTCACATCTCCAGAAGAAAAGGCCTGCCCATAAATCTGCAATGATCAACAGTTTGATTTCACTGAGTTCAGATCATTGCAGTGCTGGGATAATCAGCATTTTTTCCAAACCCCACAGTTTGGTCAGATATCTGAGATGGGCAGCCCAACCCATTTRTTTTGTCTCTGTAGGGCTGTACCTGGAAAAACCTGCAAGGTTCTCACACAGCAACAGGCCCCCCATAACAAATATTGACATCTAAATTAAGAATGCTCCTGCCTGAGCAAATGGCCATGTCCATAAAACTCATTTAAAAGGGTTCTAATTATTAAATCAATGCCTACCAYTGACTCCCCAAAATCATTGCTTTTTTCCCACTTGGGGAAATATAGGAAAACACACTGACAAACCCCCCTAAAGAATCATTTTCTTGTCAATACTGAAAAAGCCACGAGYCAAAAGTTGAGAATCTTTTATCCCTTGGTAATCAATGATTTCTCTGTCTTAGGCAGCTTTATCTGTGGATCTGTTTCTCCTGGAAAATGCCAACRGAGCAAAAGACATCACACAAAGCATCACTGTTGATGTATTTTTCAGTCACTCCRCTATCAATAGGTCAGATCAGTGCAATTTGGTATTTTTGAATATGGAACAAAAAAGGTCACAAGCAATTCCTGCTCCTCAAGGATAAAAATGACATGAATTATGGTGAGAGAGAGAGAGAGAACAGGGAACTTTGGGTGTTCTGGGAGCAGACTGGAATCAGCTTGGTCTCTAAGAGGAATTCATGGCTATTTTCAGAGATTGTCCCCAGGARCTCTTCCCTTCTCCTTCCCACCAAGCTTTCCATGCAGACAGGAAAGAGCAAAAAAAAAAAAAGATTCCTCTATTTTATCTGAATTACTGTGTTGAAAGGAACAAAAACAACCCCAAGGAAATGCAAGTGCTTTTCTGGAAACAGGTTCCTACTGCTCAGCCTAATGTAAACAAGCTCTGACAGTGTTCATCATTTTCCTTTAAATAGATCTAAAAATATGAAGATTGACATTTATCATTGGGCTTCTGGACATCTGTAACYTGATGAATAAAGAAAGATGTACAAGGGAAGACATTAATAAGGAATTCAGTACGGTGAGTATTATTTTAGGAAAAGTTATTGTATTTTGTTCTGCATGGCTTTCTGCTACTGGGAAGAAGAAAATAGGGACAGAATAAAAATGAATTGTGATCTGTTTTTCCTTGATAGGGGAGATCTCATTTTTTAAACCACAAAACTTCTTCACTCTAACACAGGCCGTTGTTAAAAACAGTTCTAATCAGATACAACAATCTTTTAAAAGGTTCCAATGTATATTTTTGATACAAAGTCCAGAGACAACATCTTAGGATGTCAAATCTCTCTTTGTGCTGTGAGCGAGGCTGGAAAGATTTGGTTTTTTTTTAATTTGTGCCATGATATTTTTCTGACTGTGTGAGCCACCCACCTCTTTTCCTGTTCTACCCCACATCTGCCAGCTCATACTCAGCCAGATGTGTGATAGAGCAGTGATTATTCACATCCCTACAGTTTAAATCCAGAACAGTGGCGTTATTTGAAGTGTCCAAGGCCAGGCTGGACAGGGCTTGGAGCAGCCTGGGASAGTGGAAGGTGTCCYTGCCCATGGCAAGGGATGGAATRAGATGATCTCTGATGTCCCTTCCAACCCAAACCATTCTGTGATTATTTCTAGTTTTTTAATTTTTCCAAAAACATGGCAAGAATTAAGACTTTCAGTTCAGGTTTGGTCATGTCCCACCCTCCCTTTTTAAAATCCTTCTCCTTGGGCCTTCCCAAGACAAAACCCAAGGGTATCCCAGTAAATGCTTGTCTGAACTCTGTCCTTAACSAAACATCTTTCTCATAAACAGACCCCACAGCCTCCCTGGATGAATGGAACCCCCATGACAGCAGTGCCCATGTGAAGAAGGAAGACAAGAAAGAACTGGGGGAGGTCATGGCTTTGGTGGAATTGCTGTGTTAGGAATCAAAGCTGACCAGGAGCTGCAGCAACTCAGCTCCCTGACCTTTAGAGGAATTTCTCTCAGCCCCTGAAACCACAAACAGCCTGAGTAAGTTACCACAGCATGGCAAACTGGTTCAAGAGGAGATTTTTGCTTCCTACAACAGAAAATATCTCTGTATCCAGGGATTAGAACTCCAGGATGACTTAACCTGGAGGATCTAATTGTCCATGGCTCCATGAGCTCATATCAACCCTACAAGGCATGTGGGATTCAGGGCAGTGGATCAGAGGAATGCCTTGTTCCACGTGAGGAGGTGAATTTTGAGCTGGAATTCCTCCTGGATGTGTTCCTGTACCCACATGGCCAAGCTGACCTGCTGTTTGTACCACTGGGGTTGGTTCTTGAGAAGATTTAATGCTCTTTTAAGGAGAAATTGGAAAAGTKCATGTTCTCTGGGAAGGAAACAAATAAATTCTTTGGTAGAATCACCCTTCCCTTCTGGGGAGGGTTTTGACCAAGGGAAACATCTGCCATTATATTGATCCAGAAGTTTTGGAGCAGAGCAAAAAGAAGAGAGATACTGAACTGAAAGAGATGAAGGGAGATGGAAAAGTCAGTTTAAAAGGAATAATTACACCTCTCTCTAAATGATGCATCACCTCAGGAGAGGTAAATGGTTTTCGAATTTGACAGAAAGGGTTAACATTTGCACTACAGTGGAAGGGCCATTGGGCTTTATAGAAAGGTGAACAGCTTCCCTGGGATAGATGCTGAGAGCAGCTCAAGAGCCCATGGCTCCAGATTGCTGCAGAAAGGAAKCAAATTCCCACGGGAGAATAAAATCCCTTTCTGCTTCAGTGCCCAGGCTGCTGAAAGCACTGTCAGGAGGTGGTTTACAGGTGACACCAGTTAATCAAACACACACCGTGATCCAGGAGTGTCAAAAGCTGAGCCCTGGCTGGGGATGCAGCAGACACATCTGTTTTGCAGATGAGCTGTTTAGAGCACAGGAGGAAGCTTTACACAGCAGCCTGAGAAGGGATGTGATTTCAACCTGTCAGGAGCGYTCAGCGCTTTATGGGGTGACATCAGGCCACTGAAAATCACATCAAAATCATGAAAATGATTTGTCTGAGTTCACCTCTCCATCTGCAGCGCGTTGCAAAGCACAAACCTCGTCTCCTGCTGCTGCCAGAAGCGAACACGACAGCGAATCACAGCGAGCACGAATCACACAACCATTCCCTTATTATTCACAGAAACGCACAAAACACCTGCAGATCCCGATTTTCCAGAGCCTCCATCCCAGCCTGGGCTCACCTGGGCCCCAGAGGGTGATGCACTGCTGCTCGTGGGTCTGGCAGATGCCGTTGTAGCAGTAGCCATCCACACCATGGCACGGGTGCCCGTCGTGCAGGTAGACGTTGGCCGGGCACTGTGGGCTGGCCCCCGTGCAGAACTCGGGCAGGTCGCAGGAATTGCTGGACTCTCGGCAAGAAATCCCCGCTGGCTTCAGCTGCAAAACAGAGGTGAGGTCAGTGAGGATGGCTTTTCCCAGTGCAGAGGACAGGGMAKGGATGMACGGCTCGAAATCATCGATTGGAGYCRYGCTGGGAGCGTCAGGGAAGCTGCACAGGAGGCAGCAGAGAGGCTCCTCCATCCTTCCTAAACACAAAAGTTCTGGAAAGGAGAACCTGAGCTCCTTTTTTTCCCACTTGGGGAAATACAGGAAAACACACTGACAAATTTCCCTAAAGAATCCTTTTCTAGTCGATATTGAAAAAGCCATGAGTCAGAAGTTAATTTCTTTGTCTTAAGCAGCTTTATCTGTGGATCTATTTCTCCTGGAAAAAGTCAGATCAGAGACCTTTCCACCCAGGCAGCTGATCATGGGACACTGTGCTCTGTTAGGGCTCAGGAAGCCACCAGTCTGCTGGATTCTGGATTTAGATACCCAATAATTCCCAGGTTGGAAGGTTCAATTTGATGATCTTGAACAGATCTCAAACCTTAATGATTTTATGGAGTTACATTTCCTCCTGGAAATGTTGCTGTCATGGGCATCAAGATCTCCTCAAACTTAACCACATGACTAGTCCATGTTCCTGTCCTGTCCTGATTTCCATGGAAAATGGCTTTTTTTTTTTTGAGCTGATGGCATCCAGCAGGCAATGATGGAAGGTGCCACTCTGAACATTCCCTTCTCAACAGCAGCCACCAAATATGAGTGAGCTCTGCACCCTGGATTTTAATCACAATGCCTTTGATAAAAAGCAAAGGACACAAAGATTGATTTTGCTAAAATGCAGTTCCTGGCTGTGGGGATCCCTTGCTGCTCCGAGCCCGTGGGGTGCCACAGCCACGATGGCAACTTGCTGGATGATTTATCAGCCCACGGGCAAGGCATGGCCTGAGAATCCAAACAGGGAAATGCCTGTGGCAAATTGGCTTTTATGGAGTGTTAGGAAACCACAGCGGCTGATGAGCTGCCATTAAAAATACATATGCTGTTGAYAGGATTAATAATTTAAGAGCCTTCCCCAAAAAAGTGGGTTCAGCGTTTAATGACTGCTTGCCATGTAAGAATGAGAAAAATTAAAGCACACAAAAGTTCATGAGAAAAAAACTTTTGCATGAGCAGCTGAAGGGCCCACAAAGCACACAGACATCATTTAAATAATCTGCTCCTTCAATAATTCATATTTTATCATTTTTTTTATGGCTCACATGACACGCAAGCATCYTACTATTTATCAAACCAATTTGCTTTTCCTCCATCCTTGCTCACTGCCCTGCAGCAGGGAAAACCACAGAATTCTGCCCTCCCAGCCCAAAAAGGAGCCGTTTGCTGAGGTTCACCTGGCAGTCCTGGCAGCAGAGCCCATGTGCACACACTGCTCCGGGGTTCAAGGTACAGGTGGTCGCGTTGCAGCACCGRTTTGTGCATTCCTGGAGGAGGTGGGAGGGCAGATTTAGAGCAGACAACTTCCAGTCACAACGAGCTGTAAATCAAGAGGCTGCCTATAGCTGTGCCAAGAAAAGCTGGGCAGGAAATCACAAATTATACATGAAATTCGACAACCYGATCCAAACAGCCTTGTCTGCCCTCAGATTCAACAAGCCCAGAGCAGTAAAACCAGAGGAGCTGGTTTATTCCAGCCATGGATCCAATCCCAAACATCACCAACAATTCAAGCATGCTGACACCACTCCTGATAGAGCTCTATGGTGTTTTATTTCCCCAGGAATCGCTGGAATGATTCCACTGCCTCCAGAGAGGATCCAGGAGCTGYGTTTTTGCTCCTGAGCATCACTACAGCTCAATTTTGTGATAGCTGCTGGCCAAGCTCCTGTTTGGATGGGGCTGCCACAGAGGGAGGCAAGGACACGATTCCATGTAATCCCTTATCAGAGCACACCAGTAATAGAGCTCTGAGATATGGGWTGAGCAGGAATTGCAGCCTCACTCGCTGCTACAGCCCAATTTCACACTTGGTGATTAGACGGTGCCATGTGTGGGCTCCTGCAAACTTTATTCTCATCAGAAYGAGCTCGTGAGGAGTCTCAGGAAAGAATGGGTTTGTTTTGCCAAGATAATGCCCACAAGCTGCAAGTTACACCAGCTGAGCTGGAATCTCATCTCTCTCACTGAAACAGCAGCAGATAAAATTGCTCTTCGGCTGTGTTAAGTCGGTTTGACTCAACAAGGGATYGCTAACAATGCAGGGAACACAGGAGGAATAAATGGGTTGGAGTGATGTTCACAGCCTCCTGAAACTCCACTGCTTCTGAAAGCTTCCCTGAAAGGCAGGGGGGCACCGACTCACCAGACAAAACCAGGAGGAGCCTCAGCATTTCACTGTTTTTTAGATAATGTCTTCCTGGATGCACAAAGCTCTGAAGCAGAGGAACAACTTCCTGCCCCTATTTTTGATCAGAAGGCTGTGGAAACATCCCCATGCAGCTGCTGCCTGTCAGGGCCAACATTCCTTTGCACAGAAGCACTTTTTACAAATTCACCTCCAAAATAACCTGAGATAAGCAGAATGCAGTGCCAGTCCCAAAGAGGCATCCTCCAGCCCCACAGGAGATTGGGATGGAGACACAGCTCCTGCAGTGGGGCACAGCAGCCTTTGAAATGTCCAATTGCTGTCTCACTTCTGCCTCATTGCAGGGAATGAGCTCAGTAAACAGTTTTTGTGCCTGGGCTATCAAATTGTCAGCAATGGTTTTAACATAAACAGGCAAACAAACAGGGAAGGCTCACCAGGGTTTTGGGGGATGGAGGCTGCCACAGAAATTACTGCTGTGCTGGAGTTGTTTCTTTTAGTAATAATAATAATTATTATTATAGTGTATAATAACATTATTATAACATTATTATAGTCTATTATTCACATACTATATTACTACATAATATTATGTAATATATTATTGTATACAAAATAATATAATATTATGTAATGTAATATAATGTAATGTAATATAATAATGTAATGTAATATAATATATATACTATAATGATTGTTATTATTATTAATGATAACAATAATAATTGATAACAACAGCCATGATGGGGAGGGCGTTTCCACCCTTTACATTCCCCTCACAATTTTATCAGYTTATTTTCCTTCATTTTCTTCTCTTCCAGAGCCCTTTTGAAACTTTGAACCACCTTATTGCTTTTCTCTCAATCTCTTCCACTCTGCTTTATCCTCCCTGGGATCAGGGAGGGGTAGGGGAAAACCTGCACAAGCAGTTTCAGGCACAGCAGATTTATGGAGGCGTGCTGGTGCTTTGTTTTGTTTTCCTATTTCTCCCCGAGTGCTTCCTAACAGCCTATTTACCTTTTAGACCACTCCTGAGCACTGGGCTGACATTTTCATGAGTCTATTTATTGCAATATGAACTCTTGTTCCTCCATGGTCAGAGCCAGCTCYGAGTCCATCATCTTCTCAGTGATTTTGGAACGTGCATCACTCCTCAGCGATGATTTCTCATCTAAATGCCTGTTCCAGCTGCCTCAGAAGGTTTCTCTGCAGTTCCTCACAGCCAGTTCCCTTCTCTACCAGCCTAAYATCATCAGCAAATTAAAGACTGTTCCTCTTCCCAGGCTGTTTATGAAAATGCTGAGTTGTGTGGTCCCCAGGACACATCTCATGGACACAGCACAGCAGATCTCCTTCTGTCAAACTCATGATTTACACCTGGTTGTATTTCTTATTTTTAACCCAACTTTTGCCTGTGCAGTTTTCTCTCATCTACAGCTCCTCAATCTCTTTGAGAGGCTTTGATAAAAGGTTTGGTCTAAAGCCTCTCTGAACCACTCAGTGACAGCCCTGTCCCTTTCCATCCACTCTTTAAGCCCTTCAGAACTTTCTGATGGTTTCTAAGACAAGATTTTGTAGGGCAGGACTTTGTAAGGCAGGACTTTGTAAGGCAGGAATTTTTAAGGCAGGATTTCCTGGCACAGGAGCTGTGTTGACTCGTCCCTGGCACATCCCAGCTGTTTGGGCACTCGCTCCTAATTACATTTGGGAGTAATTAGTCTGATTCCTGAGTTAGCAGTTAGTAGTGTTCTGCTCCCCCTCGCAGCTGGTTATAAAAGTACAGACACATTTTCATCTTTCAAGGACTGGGGGTTTTTACTTCTCATTCTTTTATCTTTCCCTCTCTAATCTACTTCAACCCTCCTTCCGCAGACACTGCAGCACATCAGACATTTTTGGTCATATAATTGAAAATTAAGTTAGAATCTTAAAATTATGGGATAGTTTGGGATGGAAGGGATCTTAAAACCCATCCAGTGTCACCCCTGCTATGGCAGGGACACCTCCTACTGTCCCAGGGAGCTCTAAATCCCTTCCAGCCTGGCCTTGGGCACTGCCAGGGATCCAGGGGCAGCCACAGCTTTTCTGGGCACCCTGTGCCAGGGCTGCCCACCCTACAGGGAAGGATTTAATCCTAATATCACCCATCCTTGAGATACTGCAACACCAGGGACAGAACTGAGCTGTACAAATGACTGGGCAGTGAATCAGTAACTCACAAAGATCTCACGGCTTTCCTGGAACCACTCAGACAGGAGCAGTAAATCCCCAATAAATCTAATTGCACACAAGCTGCAGTTTTCCAATCCAACTAAAAAGGCCAAAAGACAGAAAGAAGAGGCAAATCAAGTCAGTGCTTGCWGACAGTAAGTGGCTTTGACTCGAAAAGGTATCGCTAACATTGGCAAATGAGAGCAAGGAAGATAACGGGGTTAGGAAGACATTTGCAAGCTGCTTGCACTCTATTGACTTTGAACACAAGATAAGGCTGCTTCCCCCAACCCTGTCACCCTCAGGAGTGAGAGAACTGCCAGGAAATCCTCCCAGCTCAGACAAAYCCAATACACTCCAGGGGCAGGATGCAGCAATATCTCGCTGTTTTAACTGCCCCCATCKCTTCTGTCTGTAGGTCCTTATTTATCACAGGAAACAAATCCCTCATCTGCTGCTGCCTCTAATTCAGATAATCMGAGAGAGGTTCAATACAGCCAATGAGGCTGGGATGGAAAGGGGATAAGGATGTCAGCTGGGATATTGTTTGACCCCCAGGTTTTGCCTATCTGCTGCTGATCTGAGGAGCCCTCTGACACGTTCACTAAACCAAATGGAACAATCTTTGAAGCAGCAGCAATCTGTCTGGGAGGCAGGGAAGGCTGTTTCTGTTGGGTGCTAATTGGCCAGAGGAAGAGAAAAATCCCGTAGCCAAAGAGGGAAAGGTCTTGCACCTAAAWACTGCAGCTGCAATGAAAAATACCTGGCCAATATTAATATTTCTATTWGTTATATATATGGATAGTGAGGCCCTGGCACAGGGTGCCCAGAGCAGCTGTGGTTGCCCCATCCCTGGCAGTGCCCAAGGCCAGGCTGGACATTGGGGCTGGGAGCAGCCTGGGATGGTGGAAAGTGTCCATGACCATGGCAGGGGTGGAACATCTTTAAGGTCCCATCCAACCCAAACCATCCTGTGATCCTACCGTTACCATGGTTATATTGATAAATATAAATTTAAATATATAAATATAAGTATAAATAAACATAAGTATAAATAAACATAAGTATAAATAAACATAAGTATAAATAAACATAAGTATAAATAAACATAAGTATAAATAAATATAAGTAAAGTATAAATATAAATATAAATATAAATATAAATATAAATATAAATATAAATATATAAATATAAATAGTGGCTTCTCACTGACAGAAACAAACCTCCAATTAACGCACGTTATCTTGGGAAATCCGAGCCAAGTACACAAACTCATTTTGAGTTCAGCTAAAGCTGAAAGGAACTTCTAGGAACACGAGGTCATGGCCAGACTGCTGGACAAGGCAGGGTTTGCTCTCTAGGGATGAACTGAGCACATTGTGAACCCAAACCCTGCCTGAACTCAAACATGCTCGAGGCTCCCTGCACTTCTGAGACAATGAGGTTTAAGCTGATGGGGTGGAAGCTGAGAAGGGAGGGCTCTGTTTTACACAAACACCCCAAACCAAGCCCCTGCTGTCCAAATCCTGCAGCTCTCAGTTGCTGTCCTACCTCAGGCTCCCCGCAGTCRCACTCCTCCCCATCTTCCACGTAGCCATTTCCACACTTCTGCCCCYCAAAGGACTCCTTGACTTCGGGCAGGTTGAACAGACACATTCCCACTCCTTTCTCCAGGCTGTTCTCCAGGTCCTTCCTGCTGCAGCTGCTGAAGACCATGGGGAATGGATAGCTGCAGGAAAAACACACGGAGACAAAARGGAAGGTTGTTACAGGAGATGGAAATCTCTCTCCTGTCCCACTGGTGACATTTCAGCACGTCTGGGCCTCGAGCAGAAGGTTGTGTTCACTTTTCATCACACAGAACTACAGCCAACCCCATCAATAATAATTCCTGACTCTGAGTAAGGGAATTTCCATCTTTTTCACATCAATTTGTAGCTGCTTTTAAGGACTGGAAGTGTTCACATTTGGAATTCCTTCTCCCTSTTTTGCATATGGAGTTATAATGCAAATTATGATCGTGAGCCTAAAGAAATGCTGGGCTTGCAAGTAGCATCCTGCATTTGCAGGACTGCAAAATGTCCTAATCCTTCTTGGAAAATTCAGCCTCAAATGGCAAATTAATTCATCTTGCTCTGCAGAATGACAAAATTCCTGCTCTTTTCAGGAAAAAAAAAAAAAAAGGAGAATAAAAGAAAAAACCCCACTGTTACTTGATAAGAGCATGCTTCTGCAATTCATCAAAGCCGAGCTYGGGAACTGCATGATTAAAGCAAAGACAGTTTTTATTTGAAATCAGCATGGCTGTAAGGACACTGAGCTGAAAATGCCTGTTTTGAATTCCCAGTGCAGAGCACAGGATTTGGCCCTGCTGTGCAGGCACGAACAGTTTATTTTGCACAACAGCACAAAAAAAACGAGCCTGAGCAGGACAAATATCACCAGGTAAGTGGTGCTTTTCTCTCAGAGACCTTCATTCTGTTTGTGCTGATGGGTGTTTGCAGTTTGCCTCACTCATGGGAGACTCAGTGACACCAACACTGGGGTGTCCAAGGGCTGCTGCAGCTGCTCAGTGCTGAGATGTGGAATCAGAGTYRTGGAATGGGTTGGGCTGGAAAAGGACTTGGAGAACATTTCATTCCAKMTCYAGGGACACCTCCCACCACCCCAGGGTGYYCCAATGTCCAKCCTGGCCTTGGGCACTSMMAGGGATCCAGGGGCAGCCACAGCTTCTCTGGGCACCCTGTGCCAGGGCTGCCCACCCTACAGGGAAGGATTTTCCCTGCTCTCCAATGTCCACATGGTTCTGTTAAATCTGTGTCACAAACTCAAACAGATCTTTGTCACTCCCTGGTCCAGCAGTAACTCAACATTTCAGCACTCAGGAGCCAACATGGCAATTTCCCTTTACCCACAGAGCACTTTGTGCCACCCACGTGTTATTGGGATTGTTATCTCTGCAGACAAGGAAGGTATCAGACAGAAATTCTGAACTTCAGACTTCCATTAATCTCCTGGTGTTTCTGATATCCTGAAATGAAAAGCTTGGTTTGGGATTGATGATGCCCGTAGGTCTCAGAAAGGAAYAATTTCTATTAAAATGTTTGGCAACTACAAATGCAACAGAGCTTCCTATGCTGACATAAGGAAGTTAATTAGGATCTTTTAGAAGGTTATGGATACATTACAGAACAGAATATATTTTGTGCCTAGTTAAAATTACCTCTTTTACAGTTTCTTCTGCAATAAAACAGCCAGCTCATTGGAAAAGAACATAAACATGAGTCTGAAGGAGAAAATAATTTTCCTGTATCACTATAGGGCTTGTCAAGTTAAACTAAACAGTTTTGAGTTTCACTGACATATGACTTCAGAAAGCTAATAGGCATCTCCGTGTAATAAGCTGATTGCTGGAAAATATCAATGTTTCAGCAAAATGACAGAGGCTAAGATAAATAAAGAAATTTCAGACTAGCAGGAGGTAGGAGCCAGGCTGTCAGCTGGGCCCAAAGGGAGGGCAGGGAACGTACTTGGGGTAATGGAACAGAAAATAAAGGCACTTGGAAAACTACTTTATAAAACTACTGATCATTTTCTATGGAGYAATTGGAGATGTTCTTAACAGGACACCACAAACTTCTGTCCTACACTTGGTGCATTTGGACAGAAACCTCACAAAATTCTGTGTATGTGACTGATGGATGAACCTGCCTGCCAAACAGCAGGAAAAAGCAAAGAAACCCGGCTACATCTGACTGATAAATCCTGGTGAGGGATTGATCAGACACAGCCCCGTATCGAAGTGTGAATAAATGAATTCTGCACCATCCAGGTAAGATCCTGCCCTTCCATGGCTCAGGTTTGCTTTGATACCTGCTGGGTACAACCCAGAGATGCTCACACCTCRCAGGGAATGAAATCCACTGGGGAATTATTAATCCACAATTAATGCAGGTTTCCAAGTGACAGCCCTGAGCCACACAGGGATCATGAGAACAGCTCACTCCAAAACTGTCAATGTTTTAGGGCTGTTCCTTGGCATCCCTGGATGCTCAGGATCATTTGCATGGATGTCAGGTGTTCTTGCCCATCAGCAGGAGGGCAGAACCCTCTGTCTGTGCCAGAGGTGAATTTGTGTCATCGCTAATGAATGAGGTTTATGCTTCCCCCCAAAGGAACTTCAAGCTGTTTCCTATTTTGAGCTCACAGATCCATTCATCTTCTGGCTTTTCCTGCTCCTGAYGCTGATTTCCTCAGCTGACATCAGTGCAGCACATGGCACATGATGACATTTCCTGAAAATACTTCTTCTTTACCAAGCAAGCCCCAAATAAAGCAATAAAAACCCAGAAACTAAAACAGAGAAACTTCAGGGTAACCTCACTGTGCAAGAGAAGATCCCACATCAATTGGTGCCAATTGATGGAAACTTGATTGATCTTGAATGTAATATTCTGAAACACAACCAATCTTCTTTTTTTGAGCAATAAAGTCCCACGTAACAACCACAACATTTGATGGCTGTGATTTGAGCCTATATTTTGTCTGTCTTTGCAATTTTGAAGCTGTTTCATCAGAAGAATGACATCCCTGGCAGATGGGAAGGGAAGGCACAGATTTTGGATGTCAGGAGCGCTCAAATTGGTGTTTGAGTGAGTCTGGAGCTTGTGAAAAATGACAAAGGAATGGTGATGGGAAAGAAACTCATCCTGTGAACAAATGCAGGAGCTTCCTGCTGCTCCCCTGATCTCACCTGAAGGAGCTGCCTTTGGGTGGGAGAAGGAAATGGGGTCTCCACAGTAAAGCCAATTCTTGACCTGTCTCCAAGATTTCAGTGATATCTRTGAGTGTTTGTGCTTCCTGTGGTAGCTCAGACACTCATTCCACTGGAAAACCAGCTCATAAACACCATGGCAGAAAACATAACACCAGAGGCAAAAAATTCATTAGCAATCTTCATATCCCATCAATATCCACTCAAGACATTTTCTGTTACAGATTCTTAAWTTTTTTTTACAGCTGGAAAGAGAAAGGCAACTTTAATCCAACCCAACTCGGGTAATTGTCTGCCTCTAAAATACCGTGTCCCATACATTTTTTACACTGTCTGGATCTCCGGATTTAACGCCCAATGGATCATTTTGTCAAACTGTTCTGGCTGTGGGTACAACTCTACAGAACTCAAATTGTTCCCAGCACTACCATCAGTCTCTTCAGTGGCTTCACAGCAATGAAAATCATCTCAGCCTTTCTACCCCTCTCGAATCCACAGAATTCCTCGGCGTCTCCTTGGTGCTTAAAAGACGTGTTTAATCCCCAGCAACAAAAATCCCAGCTTCCAACAAAAACAAAAATCCCAGCTTCCAACAAAAACAAAAATCCCAGCTTCCAACAAAAACAGCTTTGCCTGCTCCTGCAAGGAAGACCTTCACAGCAGTAAGAGGATCCCTGGAAATCGATTCCTTGGGAAACAGAGCCTGGGCTTGTCCCATCCATTTAGTTTTCAAGCACTCCAGCCCTCCCCATGCCAGGTTCCTTTAGGCAGCTCTGCATTCAGCCTGCATTAGATGGCTCCTTCCATTAACTCACTGAAGTGACATCAGCACCCTGTCAAATCCCATTTAACAGGAGAGGATTCTTTGTACCAGCACCTCGCTGCCCAGCATAGGCTGCTTTCCTTTAATTTATTTATTTAGAAATAATATAAAAATATAATATCAATATATTATCTATATAAATATATATAAAAATAAATATATAAATATATATAAATAAAGATATATATATTTTTTTATATAAACATCTATTTATATAACTATATAACTATATAAATATATAAATATGTAGATATCTAAATATGTAGATATTTAAATATATATTTATATACATATATAAATATATAAATGTAAATATGTAAATATGTAAATAGAAAAGGAAAAATATAAAATATATATGTAAATATAAATATAGATAATATAGGTAATATATATAAATATAAATACTATAGAAACATATAAGGATATAAATATATAATATAAACATATATTTGTAAATAATATATTATAAATGTATATAATTAATCATATATATTAGAATATATTATGCATTAGAATAAACATTATGTATATAATTAAAATAAAATAAACATTTTGATTATTATGATTATCACTATCCAATCTCGCTTTTTTAGTTTCTTATTCAAGAGCTGCAGGACTTTTCTAAAGGAACTTTTATGAAGGAACTGCCACTTTCTGTCCCAAATGTGGGTGTACACACACACACACACACATTATATGGATATACATATCTATTTATAGGGTTCATTTCTTCCAGTTCACATCACAACCTGATTATTCAGCATTATGGCAATGTTTATAYAGAGCCTTTTACCAAAAGCCCCTGAAGTGTTTTACAATTATTCACTCAATTAAAATGCACAAGGGCCCCAAAGAGCTCTATTAAGCACCACCAGACCTCCCTCCCCGAGGTAATATGATAATTGGAGATTGTATTAATTTTAAAAGGGACATTTGGATTTTCTTCTGGAAACAACTCCTGCCTAACTGATTTCCAAAGGTACAGAAAACTGGGGCGGAACTTTGCCCAGAATTCTTGAAAACCCAAACCTGAGGGGCCATATCTGGAAACAGCTCAGGCATCAGAGGTGMTTTTTAGGAGCACGAAGGTGCTCAAAGGCCAGAGGGGTTCTCAGTCAGAAGTTTCCCCTGA